ATAACTGCTTAACGCAACCCAAAAGAGGAATAAAAATGTAATCTTAATGACAGCCGTTAAGGAATCACGTAGTCTTCAAATTATTTCTTAAACTTCGAAAACAAATGATAATGAACATTAGGAACATACAAAAACAAGATAAATAATGCATTCCCAAGAGATGTTCGACAGTTCTATTAAAGTATACTTATTTTTAACTTATAATTTCTAATTTCGTAAATCAGAATATTGAATGTACAATTTTATTATTATTATTATTATTATTATTATTATTATTATTATTATTATTATTATTATACCAATTGTTCAATATATTTCTGCTACTGACGCGGACTCCAACTTCTTTCAATGAGAGCAGATCGTAACCGTTATCGACTAACATTGTTTTCCATATCTGTAAAATGAATTCAGATGTCAGTTACTACAAGAAGTTTCTTAAATGAAATGTAAAAATAAAAAATATGGAATGCGAACCATGTCAACATTTTTGTTAACTAATAAACATTGTTTCAATATTGAGAATTTTGACCTCAACGTTGTGTGAGAATATATCTCAGATCTTTCTTTGGCACACTATTTCATTTACTTTTCAATATTCTGAAGCAGATGCCAATAATGATGAAACGCTTGATCTTCCTTCTTATACTTTATCTTGGTTTTCATGGGTAACACGTCGAAATTTGCGCCACTTTCAAATTCTAAAACATTGTCTGGAATATCGTCTATCTTAAAATGTTGAATGTGGAACTTCTAAAAATGTGTGTAGAAACAAAACGACCGCGTATCACGCAATAATGGAATCGAAATGAAGCGCTGTGATGTCTCATGCACCAAAGAATCGAACCGTATTGAAATGGAAGACGACGTTGCAACCCCATATTAAAAAAAATATATTTCGTATTTATACTATTTTTCTTATAAGAATTTGGTGATACGAAAAGTATTGAACGACACACAGTCGATTACACAAATAACTTGGTTGGCTAATTGGTGTCTATCGTCCTTAGGATTTTAATAACTATATCGCGTCCCTCCCAACAGTAAAACAGCAACCTTCCAGAAGAATAATTTGGGTTTCGGTTAACGGTCCGTCGTTCCGTGCGGCTGCGCCGTCGCGGTGGGCGTTAGGGGGTCGGCGAACGTCGGCGCCTCCCCGCCCCCGCACGCGTCTACAGGGCCCTCTATTCTCCCGTCCGTCTCCGCCCTCACGCCGTGGCGCCCCCGAAAGAAAGCGGCGCCTCTCGCACACACAGCAGACACTCCGCGCCGGCCTTTTCGAATAGACTGCCTCTTTGGAGGGAACGGCGCCGCCGCCGACGCCGCGGTCCGCCCCGCCGCCTGCGGCCGCTGCCGCCGCGGACCGTCCCTCCAAGAGCTGGGCCTTCACCTGGCGCCAGCGCCTCACGCCCTTTGTGGCGGCCAAGGCGACGGCGTAGAGGAAGGGTTGTGTCCCAAGCGGCCACTCGCACCCGTAAGTAATGCGGTGCAGGTCTGACCGAAAGAAAGAAGATGCGTACGCGCGTATAGGAGCAAGACATCTTGAAACGAACGCATCAACTTTTTCCTCCTATTTTCCGGGATTCAGGTCCCAACCGTTTCATGAAGGACTTTTCTGCAGAGTTCCCCGCTTTCCCGGCGTATAATTCCGTCTCTGTTCCACCACTCGTATTATACCATCACCATTACCACCTCTCACTGCCTTCATCTTTACGAGTAAGACTGTACATTTAAGTACTTGAATCATAAGAAAAGAGAACAATATGGCTAATAGACAAACAGAAAGGCTGTGATTTTCACCCCAGTTTCCTAGAAATAGGATAGAATTTTTAAATTTTGATTGAATAAAAACCTAAGAATGCCTAGACTATCTATTTTCATGAGCCTTCTATTATACTCATTTTTATGAAGACTGAATGGACCCTGAATGTGTGTCATGTCTTCTCCCTGAAAAGCGAAGTAGGACTTTCGCAATGTGACTTCACGTTTTACCGACATAAGGAAACATCTTACTACTCATTCTATGAGTGTTGCTATGCCAGTTGTTTTCAGCCGAAAAAAGTTTAATTCAGAGAGACATAAATTGTATTGTGATTTATTTTTCACTCGTCTTGCCGTCGGAGACAAGTATTTAGTCCAAGTTAACTTATTGCACATCGCCTAGTTCCTCACAGCATTAAACTCGTGAATGCTAGAGACCACTGGAATATGTGTTATTTCCATATCCAACTTTTGAATTACTGCACTCATTTCTCCTGTTTCACTCTTCACTTCGTAGCCATCATAACCCGACACCTTACTTATAAAACGCCTTGTCCTCCCATGAAGGAGCTGCAAGCTTTGGCCTCAGCGGTCGACACCAACTTACACCAAAAGCAACCGGGTCCGTCGAAAACTCAGCGCCGTAGTAAGTTTAGTTTATCGCTCGGACCGCGCAAAGCGGTGCGGTGTGGTGCGGTGCGGTTCGGCAGCGTGGCGAAGGCGGCGGGGGCGGGGCGGTGGCGCCAGCAGGTATGCGGCGGTAACGAGGGGCGGCCAGCGCGCGGCAGGGGGGCGGCGCCGGCGCGGGGGCGGGAGGCGTCTGGCGCCGGTGGCTGCCCGGGAGGTGATGCGCCCCGTCTGTTCTTTTCTGCAACCGAGACGGTCGGAAATTGACCACTTGGCCCGAAAGCTTCCTGGACTAAACGGGATATTAACAGTGTGCGTAATCCGGTGCGAAAGAAGCGGTGGCAACGGTCAGTGAAGCGATCCTTAACAAGATACTACTGATTTCATTCTTATAACGTACCAGTTGAAAAGGTCAATAGTCATTACTGTTTCAAAAATAATTTCTATTAAAACTCGTTTGTTTTATAAAAGAATTGATGTATTTTCGTTATTATGAAGGTAGTTCATTATTCCCTGAGATATTCATGTCATTTACATTTGCATGTTATTTACTCCCAATTTATCTTGAACGTTTGAATTTTAAGTTTTTCCTGGAATGCAGCCCATCCTGCATGGTCTACAGTTGACATATGACGTAGCAGATATTGATATTATTTAAATTGCTTCCTCAACTTTCCATTGAAGTAATCGTATAGTTAAATTTCAATTTAACACGTATTTTCACTTTTTTGTACTATGAATTTTGCATGTTAGTGAATGTTAATTACAGTTACGGAAAGTTCATGAATTTACAGTCAAACATGATATACTTTTTTATATCCTCATTCAATATTTTACAGTACATTAAACATAATTTGGTACCATTGCAAGTGCTTACTAAATCATAAAAAATATGATGTATGAAAAATTCTAAGTATACATTGCCAAAACGTTTTTTAGTAAAATTAAACTTCGCTGTGGTGGCAAAAGGACTAGAACGTATACGCCATTCCTGGTAAGTGTCTATAAGGTACCTCACTGATAGTATCGGAATAGAGCTAGTACAATGCTGGAATCTTGCTGATGACAAAGATGATGACTTTGAGATGACAAAGGGATATATGAAACTCTTCATTTTTAACTTCGCCAACAGGCGAAACGCGTCAGCGCTCCGCTGCTCGAGACGCTCCGCCCGCTCCGCTCCACCGCCACGAGCGGCGCCGCCGCCTCGCGTCTCGCGCTCCGAGAGGATCGGCACGCGGCGGTGCCCGGCCCCGTGAATTAGGCGGGAGCGGGGGCGCGGGGTCGGGAGGAAGCAGCGGGCGGGGCGGCCGCGGGGGGCGGGGGGGGCGGGGCCGCCGTCAGGGCTGGAGAAGGCAACAAATAAATAATTCTGCCTCGCGGGCGCGTGCGGCCTCGCTTGCCCGTGCCTCCCGCCGGCCGCCCGCGCCGCGCCGCTGCAGGGGGGGGATCCCGGGCGCGCCGGTCGGCTTGCGTCCACGGGCGGACCGGAGACCGCCCCCGCCGGCGCAGAAACGTACCTCACGCCGGCCCCGCCGCCGCCCCGCCTCGTTGCTCTGCCCGCCGCGAGCAAGGGGTAGTTAGTTTCCCTTGCGTTCCATCGCGGCGAAACGTCGCATTGTGTCAGCGTCGGCGGGCCCGCGCCTCGCTCGGGGGATGCGCCAGGAATTTTGTGTTGGGCCCCCTGTTCGAAATGCCTGGCCGCGTCAAAACGTGCGCCTGGCGAGAAATATGTCTCGTATTTAGCCGGCGGTTTTTTGTGGGAGGCCATCGGACGCGGCCGCCCCGCCCCCTCGGCTGCCTGGCCGGGTGCTGCCCACGCCGCCTTGACTTCCCCTTCTCGCAGGGGATATGCATTTAGAGTTTTCTGGCATTTTACTCTCTTTCAAACTACGGAAATTTAACATTTCAGGAAGCATTGGTTTAATTCTTTAAACATTTTTTATCTATCTTGATGCCATTTTCATTGAAAAACTTTTTTTGATTAAACACCTTTTCATTTAGAGAAGTTAAAACATAGAGAAATGTTATTTTTTAATCGAACTCATTTAATGGCATTACGGAGATCAGAAGCAGCTCATTCTTGCTTGAAAGTAGGTTTTCGCTTGTCTGAATTTACTGGTACACGTGTTTGTCGTTATTGTCGGAATGGTTTTCCAAATGAAAAGTTAATAATGTATACATGGGACAATTGTGGACGATGAAAATACAATTTTGTACAATCTGTTTGCGAAGTTCTACCCCAAAATTAATTCGGGTGAGCCTTTAATTTTGGTCGTATTATCCGAGGGTTATCCGGCGCCGCGTCACGCGATCGGCGCGCAGGGCTTGCGGGGGCGCGTCGCGTTCGGCGCGGCGCTGCGCGGCGTGGAGCGGCGTGACGGGGCGGGGCGCTGGCGTCAGCAGGCCCGCGGCGCATGCGCGGCGCTTTTGTGGCCGCAGCTGCCCCTGCAGCCCCGCTCGCCCGGTAATGAACCGGTAGCGCAGCGCATCTGCCGACGCGCGGGACGGCCCGGCCCGTTTTTCAGCTGTTTGCCCGCACAATGGGGCCGTTTGTATCTGCCGCGCGTTGGCCGGATTATAAATGCATAACGATACGGGATTTGTGCGATGCGATGCGAGGCACCGCCGCGCCGGCCCGCCCGTGGCCTGACGCGGCTGCCGTGGCGCCGGTGCCAGTGGAGCGCTCGCGGTGGGGTGGAAGCGAGGGGAGGGGGTACGCTGTCCGGGCTGGGACGGTTTGTGGAGGGAGTGGATGTGGTGATGACTGCCATGAGGTGTGACTCGCGATAAAGGGGTGAAGATACGGCACGGTGAGGTAACAATGCTTTCACGAGCTGATAATGGCGCAGCGTGAGCGACGGTTGTGATAGCGGTGGGGTGACTGTCGTGATGTGTGTGACACGTGATAGTTATGAAGCGGTGGAAACGGTTGAGATGAGGGTTTAACAATAGTCCTTGGTCGAAATGGTGCTTGCGGTAGCTTTAGCGTGGTGTGATAGCGTAGGGGTGGCGGCTTTATGCCAACGGCGAAGCCGATGGCCACGGGGGAAACAGTGGCCGAGAGCGAGTGCCTGGGGGAGGGGGGAGCTGCGGTGTGGATGGCGACGGCGCGGGCGCCGAGGGGATGAAAAGTATCCGCCCGGATTTGGACCCCTCGGCCCCGCGGCCTCGACGCCCTTTTCAGTTAATCCAACCCGCACTCGACGCCAAGTGGCGACCGGTTGCCCCGGTGGCGGCGGCGGCGGCGAGGGGCGGGGCGGCACGTCTTCGCCTTGTTCGAGGCGTGCAACGCCGTGTGAGATTGGTGGGACGCTCAATAGAAAGACAAACACAACGTATCTCGAGTAATTTGTATTAAGCTGGTTCTGTTGGTTTCGGTAATGTGCTAATGAAACTAGTCAGTGTTCAAGGGGATGGATTCGTGAAGGGTAGTCAAATGCGGTTTGGTTGTCAAACATTGTGCGAACTTGGGAGAATTATGTTTCGCACATAAGATCACTCTAGCAAAAGAAATCTACTTTATTTCAAAATCTTTGGTTGCTTATTTTAGCTATTTTCCGCGATGAGCAGGTATCTATATTACTAATTTTTAATTCGGGTAGAAATTGAGAAAAAGTAAGGAGCCTAAGGCAATGTGAGAGATTTCAATGTTTTCGTTAGATACCCATGATCTCAGGAAAAAAAAATCATGCAAACAGTATAATGTTGACTGAAAAAAATTCTGGATTGAAGCATTCCGCGTATTTTCATACTGCGCACAGATACTCATACCCAGAGCATTATTGATTACGATACAGCTGTCATCATGCGATAGTGTGTGTACTGCTGTACTATGTTATTGCAGTATTCGTGAAAACTTATCGTTAAAATATTTAATTGTGTATTAACGAGAGTATTTTATTTGTTATTCTTGAGCAATGTGCGTGGTACTTTGTGCAAACCCATTTCGTATGTTTTTGTTCTGCAGCACTTTCGCTGGCGCAGGCCCCTAGTAGTTACCTCTTCTTTCTTTGTGAACCTCTATTTCGCGTACCATCAGTGTTCCATCTTCTTCTGTCTTCTCTATCTTGAGCAGTTTTTCACCTCCATAATGTTCAGGTCCTGCAGTACATGATATTTTCACCTCTTTTTTTCAGCGGCCTCTCCTTTGCTTTGAGAGGAGCTTACCCTCCAATAATTTTTCGTAAAACGCCTCGCACATTATGCATTGCTCTTTGTAAGTTCCAGAATATACATAATTTCAAAATCTCTACTTACTTATTTTTCACATTAAGTTTTATAACCGGGTTTGCCTTTTAAAAAGTTGTTTTCCCGAATTGTGACATTAATCGTAAATTGAACTAGAGAATAAAGTGTTTTATTCTTGTTTCAGGCAAATGTTCCCGCAGATGAAATTCCGTGTGTCCGGGCTGGACGCGAAGGCAAAGTACATCCTTCTGCTGGACATCGTGGCCGCTGACGACTACCGCTACAAGTTCCATAACAGGTAGGCGTCCTGGACTAGTTGCATTGCCTTTCGTCACTGCCTGCTCTCTGAAAAACTTGTGTTATGTTGTACTTACAGGAGTGGAACTTAAATAAGTTCACAAACCCTCGTGTATCAATATGACACGCGCGATCGTTAAAACACATGTACTTCTGTTGTAGTAGACCTCAACACATGTTTTCTAATATTCTAGCTTTTTTGTGATTATCGAAAAAATGATGTATTTGATGAAGTTCCACGGTTTTGTTCTGAAAATAAAATTGCAATCGTTCTGTCTTTTTCAAATAAAATGTAACTACACATGAGTACCACACAAAATATGCATTAAATACTACCTGCGTAATATGTTTTTGAAATACGCATTAAAAATATTTTCGCAAACAATCAAGAATTATCTACGTATTGAATAAAATATATTATCTGGTCTGGTCATTATTTTTATTCCAATTGAATAGTTGAAATGAACTTCAATGTTTTGAGAGATTTGTATGTTGCATGTATTCGCAATATGTTTGTTTAAAACCATGAATCATGCAACAATATTTTTTCAAAAAGAAAAATGTCATTTTCGTCGTTGAATATCAATTAGTTTATCTACTTTAATTACAGTGACAATAAGTTTAGAATGAAAATATTAATATTCGTTCTCCTCCTTAACGAAATAATTATTGGTCACACAAACAGTCCTAACACATGCAATTGGCAGTGAAAATGGTTACCAGAATGTATATTCACCATATAATGTTGCAAACATTACCAGTGACCTGAATAAATTTTTAAAAGAAATTAAATTTTATGCATTTGCACATTGATATTATTACTAATTAAAAACTACTGTAGTAATAATTATTTTACGATTCATTTGAGCTATTGGAATAACAGGTGTGTAGTAGTACAAAATACTTTCCCTCAGAAACCTCATTCGACACGCATCTCGTTCCAGCCGCTGGATGGTGGCGGGCAAGGCGGACCCCGAGATGCCGAAGCGAATGTACATCCACCCTGACTCGCCCAGCACCGGCGAGCAATGGATGCAGAAAGTCGTCTCCTTCCATAAGCTTAAACTGACTAATAATATCAGTGACAAGCACGGCTTTGTAAGTACTGTACGTTCGACCCCTGCACATTTTTTTCTTATTTTTACTCACTAATTTAGCCGTAAGGCCGGCGCGCGGGGGTGGGAGCCGGCGACCCGCGAGCCTGAGCGGGGCGGCCCAGGCGTCGCCGTGTCCCAGCCCGGCGCCGGCGCCGACTCGCGCCGCGCGCGCACGCGTGATCAGGCGTCGCGATGCCTGCGCCGTCGCCAGTCGCCGACGTCGCCGCAGCGGCTGTCGCAGGTCGCCCGCGAGAGCGCGACTTTCCTAACAGGGTTGCAACTCGAGGAATGTCGTTCTTCGCGAAGGCGGCCGTGCGCGGCAAGCGAACGAGCGTCGAGGCGGCGGCGGCGGCGGCGCAGGCGGCCGCGAACGCCACGCACCGTCACGCGCCGCGCGCGTCGGCACCGTAGCCATAGGGCGAGCGCCGTGGATGCGGGTTCTGACGCCGGGCTGCAGCGCGCCGGCGCACAGTGCGGAGCGGGCCCGTCTAGGTGGTCGAAGGGGCCAAGGGGAAATCCCATGCTAATTCAATTTCATTCGATTCATTGGTGCCTTTTTTTCACGTGGAGAAGCTCAGTCCATCAGGCGTGCTCTTCCGACTGACCACGCAAATTTCGCTTCGCCCTCTTGTATCGAAAGAGGGTATCACTCGGGCGAAACAGGCTGGTAGAATTTAGTTCAGTGACTTCTTTTAGGATTAAGGGTCTTGAATACGTAGTTAATCTACAACATGGGGCAATCAGCTTAAAAAAGACAAAAATACGAAAATTTATGGAGAAATATGACCATAATATTCTGGTATTAACGGAAAATGGCAAAAGGGTTTAAACAGGCCAAAATTTGATTTATATGACACTTGAAAATTGCACAATTTTAGATATTATAGATAAAATCATATTTAACTTGCATTTTCCATGGATATAGAACAAAGAAAAAAATCACATATCATAAACATTCGCGTCCTAGTAAGAATATAGTAAGTAAATAACAAGAAGTTATCATTTTGACATTTTATATCTTGCGGACTACATCCGTGGATTCGTCCGCGAGGATATGGAAGATTTCGCACTGTGCGGCGCAGCTTGCAGCGCCGCCGAGGCCGACGCGACGCGACGCGGCGCGACGCGGCGCGACGCGACGGCGCTGCGTCTCGCGCCGTTGCGTTGTCGCCGGGCGTCGCGACGCGTCGCGTCGCATCGCGTCGTCGGCTGCGGTGGCAGCGGTGGCGACAGCGGTGTCTGTCGCCGCTTCGTATTCCGCGTCTGCCCGTGTCGGCGTTTTTTGCCTCGGCGTTACGACGGATTGTTTGATCACCCTGGCGCTCCGACGCTCACTTTCGCCAGTGCGGTCCTTCGGGCCCTCGGAGAAAACGACGCTTTGTCTCATCCCAAATTCGGCGCGCGATCAATCGTTTAAGAGCTCCCGGGAACAATGGCCGCCCAAGAAATTTCATTAAATCCTAAAATAGGTTTCGTTACCGTTTAGTGTCAGTCTGTCGATTGCCGACGTGTATTGCGAACCCCAGCCATCCACGCCGCGCTCGCTAACGTATTCTAAGATCCGCGTTGTTGAATGTGGATGTGTGCGATGCGTGAGCGGTGTGCGTGTTTTTATGTGAGGTTCGAGTGGGCTAAACGTATTGCAAGCGCAGTACCGGTCGGCGTGAGTGATGTGTGTGAGAGGTGTGTGAAAAACGACGCGTGCTTGAAAGGCTTGCCACGGGCACGCCTGCGCTGGTGCACGAACCCTGGCCTCCTCTCTCCTCCGGACAGCGGCTAGCACGCCTCACGCTCTCTGAAGAAAGCACGGCTGTGGGGCGCGCCGCCTGCATCGTGGGATCCTCACGTGTAATTTACGGCGTTCACAGCCGCATTATTTACGGATTTGTGTGTGAGACCTCTTTTTTATTTCAGAAGCGATACCAATGTTGAAGGCTGTTGGTTTGTCTTTCGACTTGATAGGAAATAGTATCTTCTCAGTTTTGTGCTAGGTATAATGCAAATAATAAATAATAACTACTTGTTTATCTATGAATTTCACAAATGCGTTCAATAAATTGAAGACTGAAGACAGATTTCTTTTTGAGGCACATACCATTGGAATTTCAAATGTTGGTCATGTTCATTGCTTACACAACATTGTAAGTATTTGAATTTATCAATAGATTAATTATAAACTTAAGAAATATTTATTATCAGAACATCAATAAAGATTGATACATCTTCTGTAACTGCTTTCAAACTGTGTCCTACAATCTTAAAACTGAAAATATGATCTCTTTATGAGAATACCATCGCCTACGAGGTGAAAGGTAGCGCTAGTCAAAAGGACATGTTAAACAAACGCAATTCTAAAGATGTACATTTCGTCGAAGTGTTTACGGATCCTTGTGTCCTGCATATGCTAAGCCATGACAGAACGGAAATGTTAAATCATGAGTATTTTTTCAGCTTTCTTTGATGTACACTTACAATTGAATGGAAACGCACGTGATCTATTTTGCTACAAGATCCTAAATACATTAAGAAGAATGGTCTGAATATGAAACTTTCGATGGCGAAACACGAAAGAAAGTTACAGCCACAAAGGTGGGAATTGGTAGTGTGATACGCGTAATAGGAAGGAATGATTTTGAAGCCAGCCTATAGATTTTAATAATTCCACAGGGAATGACTCACTTTGCGGATCCGGCGCGTGATGCATAAGTAATTCACACATCAAAGGGACGTGAATCACATATTCTGGATCAATCTCCGTCATAAAACGAGGGAATTTGAAGAACGGAAATAAAAGAGTCTGTGGAAAACCACCACGTTCCTGTTTTCTGGAATGGGCGGAAAATAACAGGACCCCGAGTCAAACACCTAATGCATCCTACACAATTTCCCTCCGGAAATCAAATACACGGCCTTTCTTATAATCGTGTAATCTTTTATTCCACTGTAAGAAATTTAAAGACGACAAAATTCCACGTTTTCGGTGAAATAATTTTATTTGGTTGGAAATGAAAAGATACAATGTTTATACATTTCGGGACATACCTTGTTATTCCAAACGCATTGTGCCATTTATCAACACTTCACATCAATATTATTACTTTCTCGCTTCTTCTTACGCAGTATAGAGAAAAAATTGTAATGCTGCGACAAAACAGCAAATTTTCGTCCGAAATCTCTTATTGCGGGTCCCGGGTAATGCAAAAATGGTTAATCTGTCCGTACAGAAAATTATTTTCTCTAACACGTCGGGTCATCAGAATCCATGTTTGTGGGTTCTTGATCTGAAAACTGGATTGACGGCAAAATGTCTGTCTGTGAACATCGCTAGCGGCTAAACCGTTCAGTCGATTTTCTCCAAAGTTGATATTCCCCAATTTTATGAGTGATGTCGCAGCCCCTTGAATTTAAAACATATTTTAGTTTTGGAGGTACTTTTTATGAAAGCCCTAGGGTATTTTCAAAATTTTCAACAAAAAAAGAGTCCAATTTTTTGATTAAATTTTGTTGGCGGATGGACTGTAAAGAGAATGTTGCAGATCTCATTTTCGTTAAAACACATGTTTTTTTGGAAATTGGAAAAGTTAAATATTTTTTCGGCAGCTTTGTACACCTAAAATATTGAAGATACACTAGATTCTTTTTCTCAATGAAATGTGTTCACAATAAGCAGCTCTTCGAATAAGCTCATCATCAATGTTTCCGCATCAAAGTATGCGTATTTTTAACGATAAATATGAGATTTTCAAGCGGTGAGTGAAATCCCTCCCCCCTAACATTTTTGAATAACCATTAATTTTAACTCGTCACGAAACTTCAAAATATTTTCGTGTAATAATCATTAAAACGAATCAAATCGCAGCATGAGCTGAGTGTTGCCTGAGACATTTTACAAAATCTGCAATATGACTCATTCGACGAAACATTTTGAATGCCCACTCCCAAAATTTTCCGCTGGATCCGCCCCTGGTATTTTTATGATAACATAATATTGCGAGAAAGTGTGTGCTGTTGTAACACCTGTAATTTTTGAAAGAGAGTTCTTGTTATAACGATTACCGCCAACGACTGTTTTTATTTTTAATGTGATATTGTACGATATCCTCTTTGTTTTAAAAAATAATATAATTATCGTATTGTATCATTTTTGTTATTATGGACAATAATTGTCTATAATTATTGTCTTTAATTATTGAAGGCAAAAAAAATTCATTTTTTATTTGCTCGCAATGAAATTTCTTAGCGAAACGTTATTAAATGTGTCGAAATTTGCACATCTGTTCAGGTGTCACTCAATCATCACCTTGCGCGCTAAGCGCTTTCTTACTTAGATAAATTTCTGTGTTAACCTTTCAGAGAGCTTTAATATTTGTATTTAACCTGTAATTCAGTTGTGTTAATTTACTCGAGCTATTTCAGTGACTCGTGAAGAGGGGGCATATTTTGACTCGTGAAACGTTACGTGAAGAAACTTCCGTCAGTGTAAAAATATAATGGAAAATTTCTTCGTTTTTTGTACATAAATATAAAAAAAAGGATATCATACGATAATATTTATGATAATATTATTAAATAATATTATTATTTTTGGTGGAATAAAAGCATCATGATTTCATGTCTATTAAATAGACAAAGCGTTTTTGTATCAATATAGTGAAGCCGTTCCACAGGCGAGAGCCTCGACTTGCGCTGCGCATGACCCACTGCAATGAAATTTCCCAATGTCGGTGAAATAATCTTGTTTTGTAAAAAATTCAAAAGATTTCTCTACAGTCTTCTGTATATATTTCGGGTGGATTTTTATCCTTCTTTGCATGTCAACATCAATACCATTGTTTATTGACACAAAAGCTTGATTAGTTCAAGTCTGAAGTCGACGAGCGTTCTCGTGCGGAAGCCGTCCCTTGGTTCGGGCGCCGGCGAATATCGCGGGCGAGGCGTGGAAGCTCGCAGCTCCGGGCGCGGCGAGGCGCCGCAAATGCCGCGAAGCGCGCAGCGGCGGCC